CTCCCAGCAGGTAACTCGGTAGCCGGCAGTCAATGTCGGTGCCTTTTCTAGGAAGGACAACGGCAGACCCTCACCTGTGTGCAGTGCAGTGCATTCGGGGATAAATTGCATATAATTATGCAACAACGTCCACAGTTTTTGGAAGTTCACACCTACCCGACCCGCCGCTGCCGCTTCCACTGCCACAGCCACAGCCTGCCACTGCGTGCTCTCCAAGCATATCCTGTTGGCCGTGTCCAATTTCCAGTTAGCTGTCTCCCTCTTACCATTAAAGCTGTCCACCAATTTGATGCCCTGGACGCCATTAGAGTCGATAGCCATCAAGAGATGGCCAGCCGCTGGTTCGCATGGCAGCCAGCACTTAGAAGCGCTCTCCGGCAGCGCAACTTGAGACCTCGATTAGGCCATGACAACAGGTGCGGCACGTACGGCTAAGGGTATGCAAAAGGATTGGCCAAAGTATAATCGATTTGAGCATCGACATCGATGCGTCGCGTCGCGTCGCGGCGCCTGCAGCTGCCCCTAATCTGATGAAGGGTTATTCATGTGTGTTTCTTTGGCTATTGCCTTTATAATGAAATTGTGCTGTTGTGTTGACCAATTTGTTATTTAATTTGGACGGTTCACCCTGGCTGGCCACATCCTTTGTTTGGCCTGTGAAAGTGTGAAGTGTTCGTGGCTCGGCATGGGGCGTGTCCTGATGAGTGAGCCTTGGAGCAGGTGCCCAGCTCAGCTCAGCTCCACTAACGGCTTGCAGACACGAGAAAACAAAAAACTTTTTGCCGCAATTTGGCCAATTTGAGCTAACGCAAATGGGAATCAGTGGCGGTTTTTTTTTTGCTTTGTGGGCACTCTTTGACCTGCCTGGGCTGAGTCCGGGGCGTTGGTGGTGGCGGCTAATAAAACAAAATGTTTTATTGCCCAGCAACAGCAGAAAGCGATAGCCCACAAAAGCAAACAAATATGGCAGCCACACATAATTGGCAGCCATTTTGAGTTGCATTTCATTTCTTTTTGTTTGTTTCGCTTTCTGTTTGTCTGTCTGTCTGTCTGTCTGCCACCGACACGCGCCGCTAAGCTCGACCTGGAAACCGGTAGAACGCCACTGCAACTGCAATTCCAACTGCCACAGACAATTGCTGAAATGTTGATTACAAACTGGCGCAGCTGTCACCAGTCCATTGGTAACCAGCACTTCAAATCCAAGCCCATTTCCGCTCAGCAATGGATGCGCTCCCCAGAGCCAGCTCAGCTCCCTCTCAGCACTTAGTTTTAATAAGTTGCTAATGGGTTGTGTTGCACAAACCAGGGAAGAGACGTAGCCGTAACTCCATCCGGCTCAAGACCAAGCTAACCGCAAGTTTTCCTTGTATTCCCCATAAAATTTGAGGAGTTTTTAGCATCAAATAAATCGGGGAATACATATTTCCTCTGCTCTATTTCCTTATTCGATTTGAAGTGTAAAATTATAAAGTTGGCTTGTCAGATCATCTGCCAGTTCTTTTTCCTGTATTCCACATGGAAATTAGCTCTCATCTCTTTCAGAAAACATACAAAAATAGTTACGTAAATGGTTCCTTCTTGGGCTGTGAACCCTTCTGGCCTGTCAATAGCTGCAGCTTCCGCTGGCGTTGGCAACTTTGTGTGAAAAGTGATCGTTACGATGCCAACCGCAAATAACTTGCGACTGGCGACTTGGCAGATTGCACCAAAAAGGCTATGCCATGGGTCTGGGTCTGGGTCTGGCAACCGCAAACTTGGCCGATCAGCATCAATGCCTCATAACTCATGACATTTATGTTGGCCATGTCAGTCCGAGGCAGCCAGTCGAAGCGATCATCTCTGCGCTGACTCATCAAATCTGCATATTCGAGTGGGTTGGATATGTACCCACAAATATACACATAATATACATATATATGTACATATGTAGTACTTGTAGATATCTGGTCATTAGGCTCATTAGTGAGGAAGCCAATTAATAAACAAAAATAAATAATTGCACAATTCATTTGGTAATTAGACATGGCTCATAAAGCTGAATTAGGCAAAAGGCATAATGCCGATGGCCTAGAGATATCACAGAGATAGCACACGACCATGTACATACATGTGGGAAGAGAAACAGAGAAAGGGGCAGAGACACAGACACAGGCCCAGAGAACTTCATGCAAATGAAATGAAATTGACTAGAGAGACAGCAAATTGAGTGTGTCTATAAGGTACCAGTACCAGTACTCGTGTGTGTACTTATTTCTGTCCCGTCCCTGCTCAGTGGATGGCAACATTAGCAGCCCCACAACCACAACACAACCGCAGTCCCGCCCAATCTCTCCATATACAGTGGTATCCATATATACATTTGGATGTATGTATACTATGTGAACAATTCATTTGTCACACTAAATTTGTTTCAATTCATTTGCTCGAAATGACAAATAATGCGATATAATTACATTTCTGTGCCGTGCCTGTTCGCCCCGGCCTCAGTCCCGCTTCCGCTCGCCCAACGCTCATTAGGCTCTCGGTGGAGATTTTTAAATGAGATTGTTACTATTTATGTACGTTTTTCCATAAAACTTACGCATGTCTGCAGCCTTACACTAATTATCATTTCCCCCCCATCAGCATCAGCAGCAGCAGCAGCAGCATCAGGACAGGGCAGGGCATTTCGGTTAGCGAATCAGATCTTGGCAAGATTGTATGTTCTTGTGGCCGATTTCCAGGGTGACATGCTGTGGGGCGGATTCGTCGTTCATATCAATTTTAATCAAGCAAGGAAGTGGAGCCTCTATTGCCTTTTTTTAAATATACACTGACTATCTGACTTCTACATAATAATATGCTCAGACATTAATCGTAAATGATGTTTGTTTTGAGTGTTATTCAATAAAAATGAAAAATAAAATATGATCATGTGAAAATTGTGAAAGTTGAATTATTTCGCTTTTATAAATACAAATTATTCAAATATATGTATATTTCAACAGGTCCCAGTATATGTTGATATAGCTACAAATCGTAAATCCAAGCTTGGGAAAGAAAAAATTAAATCGGCTCTTGGGATCGTTTTGAAAAAAAATCTCCAAACTGGGCCTGGCCAAAAATCGAATGGCCATTGTGTCCGACCACAACAAAGCGAATATGGATGTCCTAAGGTCGGCTGCACAGGAGTACCCAGTCATTTGGGATATCTTCCGATGCAACGGTACAGAAGTTATACGAGCAACTGCCCTTAAGTGGGCGAAAGTATTCTCAGGGACGGCCAACCAACAATGGAAATAGGAACGAGGTGGCGGCCATCATCAGGAAGATGGTGGAGAAGTACTTTACGACGCCGAACAGATCTCCACTAAATGTTTCCCGCATCGACTCCAGTAAATTTGAAATGATGGGCCGCATCCTGAAGAAGCACATGAGCGAAATTATGGCGTAAGCAACTACGCTGGCTCACCAAATGGCAGAGCTAAAAGATGACCAATTATACTACTACTTAAACACGCCCAAATTCTTGAGAAGATTCGATTGCTCAGTGGCGCCATATTTGAAATTCCCGCTGCGCTTGTTTATGAAACTCTGCAATTGTTCAGTTCTCAATGGAACTTTTTTAACTAGTTCTTCTTTTTTGCGGATTTTTGTTTTTAGGGCTACCAGATCAGTTCAAAGCGAATCGGTAATGAAGCGGGTCACAAAATATCATGGTGTGGCAGCCCGCAGCAACTATGAATTCCACGGGTCTGGCAGCGCCACCAACAACCACAATTCGATTTATGTTGTTTTTGTATATGTATATGTACATGTATATGTATGAAATATATCTGAGGTTCCAGTCACACTGGACAGCACCGACAAAACAAATCAAATAAAATATTTATTTTTCAAAATGACCGCCAACCTCCATTTAGGGTACCAAAATATCGATATTATACGCTCCCAATTCTCGGTGGGTTTTCAAAATTTGCTCTCTTTTCAGAGGTGAAGAGAGCGTTTTCGTGGTGACTTTTCGTGGTCTGAGAAACATGTATCTTACGGGAACGCGTATGGAATGAAGATTCATTGTTGCGTCATACCATACGCGTTCCCGTAAGATGCATTTGATTTGTATGGGAAAAATTTCAGCAACATGGGGAAATGAATTAGCAGCATTGTTGTGCAACTTTGGCACGGAATGAGCAACAATCAAATTTGGATATTATGGACTTGAGATATTGTTTGTAATTTCAGGCTCCAATTAATGCAGAAACTACTCAGTCTCGGTTTTCAAGATATTAACGAAATTTGGCATGTCACGGGTACCATTAATAGGTATCAGAACCGGGATAAAACAAAAAACATCTATATTAATAGGTAAAAAAAACATCTCAATCTAGGATAAAATCATTATTAATATTTCAATGGAGCTTGGAACAACAAATTTGACATCAATTAAAAGATATAAGGGTATACAAAAGTACATACGCATAGAAGAAACTTGGTTGGCCAGCAACATTAAGTCAACATTTACGTTTTATGCTTTGGCCGTTTTTGTTTGAACCTTATTATGTAAAAAATGCAATAAACAGGAGTTTTATTAACTAGCTAATCTTGTAGAAAATGGATATATCTATCGGATAAAATTATTTGCTTAGGGCTGAGTGGGCCAACTAACTAGTAATATTAAACCGAATATCAAAATTATGGAATACGATTTCAATCAATAAAATAGAACATTATTCCATTGTCGACCAAAGGGGTTTTTAATATTTCCACGAAATGTATGCAATTTTAACATATTTTACGCATTACAGGTGAAAGATGTGGGTGGTTATTTTTGCTTTGTAAGTAAAGAGGAGAATGGAGCTTCAATGAGCCTTTACAAACTGTATTTTTTTCCGCGGCTTAACAGAGGGTGATCAACTTTTTAAATAGAGGGGTGTTAAGTGGGTTAAGTCTCCTTTGATTGCCGCCCTGGTTTTTCTGCCCTGGCTCCTATCCTACAAATTTCGGCCAAAAACAAAACAAAACAAAACAAACAATGTCATGGATGTAGATTGGAACGACAACGACGACGACTTGGTGGCGGCTTTGGAGATTCACGAACTGCTGGAGAGCAACGTAATTTCGCATTAGCTATAGTACGATCAGCCAGAGATTAATCACAGTTTGCGTGTTTTCATTCAGCAGGATCAGTCTGGCTCGAAGCCCCAGGAACCTGCAATCCATGCAGAGGATGAGTGCCATGGCTTCGACATGGCCACCGGCCACAATTGGATCTATCCGAACAATCTGCCCCTGCGCGCGTATCAGCAAACCATCGTCCAGTCGGCCCTCTATAAAAACACACTGGTGGTTCTGCCGACAGGTCTGGGGAAGACCTTCATCGCAGCCGTGGTTATGTACAACTTTTATCGGTGGTATCCTCAGGGCAAGATCATCTTCATGGCGCCAACGCGGCCACTCGTCGCCCAGCAGATTGCCGCCTGCCAGAAGATTATGCCCTTCCCGTCTTCCGACACCGTGCAGCTGACGGGTATGTTGAACAACACAATAATGGTGTGCAGACAGTAATGATGTGTCTCTGGATTCATCAGGACAGCTGCCGCGTCCGAAGCGTGCTCATCTGTGGGCCAGCAAGCGCGTCTTCTTCGCCACACCCCAGGTGGTGCACTCCGATATGCTGGAGACGGAGGACGGAGCTCACTTTCCATTTGCCGCCATCAAACTGCTGGTGGTGGATGAGGCGCATCGGGCCAAGGGTCGCTACGCCTTCACCCAAGTCGCCGACTGCATGATGGCGCACAATCGGAACTTCCGCATGCTAGCCTTGTCCGCTACGCCAGGACGAACAATTGACGACGTGTCCAGTGTCTGCCAGAACCTGTACATTGCCAATCTTCAAGTTCGCTGGGACAACTCGATCGATGTCCAGCCCTACGTGCACAGGCGCATTATACGAACGATTGTGGTGCCTCTCAAAGACACTTTAAAGGAGACGCGCGAGCGTTTGCTGCAGATTATCGAACCATATCTGCGCCAGCTCATCGCCGCGGATGTTCTGAAGGGGACCAAGGGCAACATCAGCAAGAACAATTTGCTGTATGACCAGAAAACGTTCAACGAACGCTCCGCCAAGGGCCAGCGACATCCGGAGCACAACATCATTGCTGGAAACTTTGGCATGTGCATCAGTCTGTATCACTCCCTGGAGCTAATGGAGCGGCACGGACTGCGTGTGTTCGTGAATAACTTCGATGCGGATGAGGAGGGGCGTGAAAAGTTTGTCTTGGCCCGTGACAGAGACCTAAGAAATTTGGTTGACCAGGTGCGTTCGGATTTGGGTGCTAATCCCCTAGATTTCAACACGCATCCTATGGCGAATGGTGAAGTTCCTTCGATGCCCGCAGACCTGGATTTTGGCCATGCCAAATATGAACGGCTTCGACAGGTGCTTGTCGAGCACTTTGCGGTAAGACTGCTCTTCGATCGACCATCTCAACCATCGATTGATTACCTTTGACATGTTTCAGTCGAATGCCGATTCCCGTGCCATTGTATTCTGCGAGTACCGTGAGTCTGTGATGCTGATTCATCGACTACTCCTCCAGCATAGACCGCTGCTGCGTGCCCGTTGCTTTGTTGGCCAAGGAAGCACCGCGGGAGCGAGCTATGCCCTGACACAGAAGCAGCAGATCCAGATCATGGCTGATTTTCGAAGCGGCACCAGCAACGTCCTGGTGGCCACCTCCATTGGCGAGGAGGGCATCGATGTGGGCGAAGTGGAAATGATTGTATGCTTCGACATTTGCAGCTCGAATCCGACGCGTTTCGTGCAACGCATTGGGCGAACCGGTAGGAAGAAGAACGGTGAGGTTGTGATGCTCGTCACCGAGGGGCGAGAGCACCAGGTCCTCAAGGATGTGCTGGCCAACAAGGATCAGACAAACAAGAAACTGCTCAACTCGTCCGTGGTGCGAATGTCGCTGTATGCACACAATCCCCGGATGGTGCCCTCCCAGTTTCAGCCCAAGTGCGAGGAGAAGCACATGGAAGCAGCTGCCGTTGAGGAAAAGCCGAAACCCTCCGCAAAGACAAGGGAACCAAAGAAACGGAAGCAGCCGAATGTAACCCTCCATAAGTTCTTCAAGCAAAGCAGCCATCCGTCGCAGAGCCAGGAAGGAATTCTTCAGGGACTGCAACCCTACCAGATGAGTGCAGCGTCCCAGCAAATGATCCAGGACCAAGTGCCGCAGCATAGTGCAAGCATTAGAAACTTCCTGCTGGACACCCAGGCCACATCCACATTGAGCAACAGTCAGGAGGATGTGCAGCGCCTGCGAAAGCTCACCAGGCTACTGCAATCGAACAAGCCGATTGTCACTGCCTCCCAAGACCTTGTCAGTCATCTGCAAGACAAAGAACTGCCCCGACCGCTGAAGCTGCATCTCCTGCGGAGCAATCCCATCTTCGTGCAGGAAACCCATTCAAAGATGCTACTTCAAAACCAGATGGACATACCCGAGAAACGCTTGAATGGCAGGCAGCAGCGAACCAGAAATAACTACCAGCTGCTTTTGGAAATATGCGATGGACCCGAGAAGCTGGAGGAACTTTTGCAGTCAGAGCCATCTATGGCAGAGATAACCCTAAAAGATCTGGAGAGTCCACTGGATGAGCAGACAGAAAGAGCATTTAGAGCCACCTGTGATAGGATCTTCAAGGGTCTAGATGAGCAAGGCCTGAATTCAGATAATTTCGAGCTGAAGCAGCAGCTCCTGGACAAGCTGGAGTTGCGAAATCTGGAGGCGACTGTTCACGAGCAATTGGGCGGCGATGAATTCACCTGGTCGGAAGATGACACCTGGGATCACAAGGATGGAAAAAGAATGCAATTCCATGTATCAAAGCCAATGGCTTGATTTTGCCGCCACAGAAGCTGTGCAGCATAGATCCACGCCTCTCAGAGTGAAGCCGGAGAGTCGACGACAGTTCGATGACCTCCAGGAGGAAGAGGAGTGCGACTCACGAGTGGAGGCAAGCGATCTGGGTGATAATTTGGGTCGATTAAATTGTCTGATGAGTGAGAAGGCTCCAGGTCTGATGACTGAACCAATTTCATGTGCCCCTCCAACCGAAGCGACTGAAGCGGAAGCGGAAGCTACTGCAGTAGTCACTCAAAGTCCACCGCCAGATCTGAATACGGTGGCAAACGTTAGGCTAGACCCAGTAGTAACTCTGGATGATGACTTGGAAATCGATTTGAATGATTTCCTTGAACCAATGGCTGAGGAGGTGCAGTTGATGAGCCAGCTGAAGCGGAATACGCTCTTGCCAAGTGATGCTTTGAAGGAGAACATACCTGCTAAACTCCAATCCTGCTCCACTCCACGTAATGTTTCACCAGACATCTTTGAATACGACTCCATGTCACCATTCAAGCCCCAAGCCAAAAGTCTAGCCGCCAAATTAGCGGCCAAAACCACCTCCACTGCAGCCTCAGATAGCACTCCTTCGAGAGCATTCAATCTTCAGTCGCCAGAACATCGAAAGCGGACGACTCCGCGGGGCCCAGATAAGTCGCCCTGCATGTTAAATCAGTATCTGAATCGCGCGCATGGGCGCGGGCGTTTGGCTAAAGCAGCCGACTCCCTGCATAGGCAAACTTCAGTGAAGAATGCATCTACATCTTGTAATCGTACATTGGTCAATGAGGAGGATTCGCCCATCATCCGGCGATCATCGAAGCGGAAGATCGTCATCAGTTCCGATGAAGAGGAGCAACAGGAAACAATCATGCAGGTGCCGGTCACCCAAGCTGATTATGATTCGGATGAGGGCGAACAAATTCCTGCCACCCAAATGGTATTCAATCGCATAATTCCTACAATTCTATAATTATAATTCCCCTTTCTGTAATGTCTTCTAGTCGGAAACCGCAACGCCTCCGACCAGGCCACGCCAGAAACGCCGAAAGTTTAACTCCTTCATTATCGATGAAGCAGACAGAAGTGGATCTGATCACGACGAGGAGGCAGAGCACACCATTGGGGCGTATCTAAAGGATTCTGTGATCGTTTCCAGCGATGATGAGGACCACAACAACACCACCGATCATGCCATATACCTGCAGGCGATCAGGTAAGTGGAGAATACTTTTCTGGGATTACGTTTAATGTAATATCACATTTGCAGGAGCCCCGTTCAACGTCCTGGTGCCTTTAAAATCCCCGCTCGTCGTGAATATCGCGATGAGTCGCACATCTTCTCACAGGATGTCGAGGCGGAAGCCTCCCAGTATATGCCCTCTTCCTTTATTGTTGCCGATGACAGTTTAGCACCCGCGAAGCATAATGTCTCCGAGTGTCCCGCTGGAGCGCGCTGAACGTATTCTAAAAGAGCGACGTAGACAGCGTCGACTTGGCATCGATTTGCCACCAGCTCCTTCCAACAAGCGTCGCCGTGTGCACACAATAGACAGTAGCGATGATGATGATGATGTGGTCTTCTTGGCTTCAAGATGAGTACAGTTCAGTCCAGTCAACCTCATCATATTATGCGGGCCATACATGTGTTCAAGTTCAAATTAATTGTAAGGTTAGCAAATAGTTTACTGTACATCAAAGACAAGATATTAGGGTTAAACACTTTCCCGCAATTTTTTTAGTTTTTACTTTGTTTGATATTTCATGTTTATGTGTGTGTATGTGCCATTCCATTCAAATTGTTAGAAACTATTTTGTACATTATATTTTTGCCATTCAATCGATCGTGTCATAAATCAAAAACAGCAATTTATAAAATTGTAAGTTTGTTGTACAATATCATTAAAGTTTTTATACAATTTGTACCCGTTAAGTATTTAGCTGGCAAAATTTATCTTAAAATTAAAAAAAAAAAAATTAAAATTTTAAATTAAAAAAAATTAACGTTCAATATTAGCGACAAAATTTGGTACATCTTAACTACACAAATGTGAATTCTACATGGTTTCTACATCCAAATTCACCCAAAAGTATGCTAAAAGATGCCATATCTACATGAAGTTTACTTGGCTACTTCCCGCCAGATGTTTTAGATTTTAGCTTTCTGTGCTGATTTAGGTGTTACTAGCTCTGCTCTGGGCTATTTGGGGGAGGGGGGTTGTAATTTTTCTCGTGATCTGGAAAATATTCTTGATTGATCGAATGATTGAGGATGACCTTTGCAAGGCAGGAAATGCACCTAAAACATCATTAAACTTCGAGCTGACTTAAACATTGCCAAAGAAAATCAGGTAATTACCGGAACAGTATTGTAACTTTAAAATGTAGCATTAATTAAGGCCAAGTTGATTGTTAATGTAAAATGTCCATTTAGGGAACCAGAGACAGAAACCCAATTACTAGATTTAATGGTATTGTATCCATTGGAGGGACAGTGCCGGTAAAGCATATTCAAATTTCCCGCATGGGGGTTTCTACCAACATTTTTCCACTGCAGTGTGCGGCATAATCAATAATTTTTAATTTAACAACAATCGCACAATCGTTTCAGCGTAATAACCATTATTATATTTTCAACAATAACAGGCACAACATAGATAGCAACAGCAACAACGAAAACTCAATTCAATTTTAATGGAGTAGCAATAAAACAGAAAAAGCGAAAAAAATTGCTATAGCCATGCGGCCATAAGCCAGGTCCGGGCAACGGAGAAGGGGCAGCCGGGCCACGGACCGATGCCAGAGACCGATGCCAGCCAACCAGACGGAAAAGCGAACCAGTCAGGCAGTACGTACAGCACAATTTTGCAATTGCAATAAAATAATTTAAAATCGTTTTCATCAACATCAGCTCAAAGAGTTTTTGCCTGCCAGTCGAAATGCAAAAATGATTTTGCGGCAATCAGCCATTCCTGCCCTGGCCTGGCCCGGTCTGGTCCGGTCCGATGCTGGGGCTGGGGCTAAGGCTGAGCTGATGATGACGTTGACTTGTTGATGATCAAAATGATGGATGGCTATTTGAAATTGATTCGCTGTGAATGTGAATGCGATTTCCATGCCATTCCCCTGACTATGGCTCTCTCTGTCTTTAGCTGACTTGGCCATCATTTTCATAGTGGGCATCGCCATTGCCAGCCAGAGTCCAAGCCAATTGCAGGTTCAGCTGGCTGTGCTGAGATCTGGCCCGAGTCTTTACGGTCCCGACGATTTCCTTAATACGAAACGTGCTTGCCTGATGCGCCGTGTCCAATTTTGTAGTTCGTTCTTTGTAGGGTATGCTAAATCGCACTGCACTCAAATCCGTTCTCAGAGTTTCACTTTGGGTCTTGGTTTTGGTTTGGTTTTGGTTTGGTTTTGGTTGGGTTTGGACTTTCCTTTATGTTTGGGCTTTTATAAATGGTCTGCCTCTAGTGGGCTGGGCCTATCGTTTTAGTCGTTTTGCGGTTAAATTGTCTTGCGAAACAAAACCAATTCCAATTTCAAACAAAACGTTTTGCGAAAATTACGCAAAGGTGTACGCCGGACGTGCTGTTGCAACACGTTTAAGTTGAAGATGAAAGAACTGCAGTAAATGGTCTGCAATCGATGGAGAACTCATCGGAAGTTTTTTTACTGATTGGCATTCTGTTGAGTGGATGGATCGCGGTTCAAGGAAATGATCATCGCGAATGATTTACGAGTATAATGAAGAGCAGTTCTCAGAGCCGGCCTGGCCTGGCCATATGTTTGATTCCTTCGCAATGACAAATCGATTTCAAATTGATCCGCTGGCTCTGGGCAAACACAATGGAAACGCCCACCAACGAGGGTCTGGTCTTGTCGTAGCCGTCTCTCTCTCTCTCTGTGTGTGGAACGCTCTCTATCATATCTCTTGACAAATTGATATTGTCTAAGCCATTTTCGATATGCATATTTATGTTTTCGATATGTTTTGGTTTGCTTGACTCACGACTTTGTTACCTGGGCTTTATCGCTTTATAATTTTTCTTGGCTTTCGTTCCCAGCTCCCCCCGGCTTGGCGTCTTGTCAACACACTCACTTAGAGACAAAGGGCGGAATAATGGACGTGGCGGCGGCCATCGCCAGCAGAGCGCATCCACATCCGGCCTGGAGTTCTTTGTTGCCGGCCTGATAAGTTTCTTGATGCCCCGTTGACTCGTCGTGTCATATTATCCATGTTGGCATGTCAAAAGTGCTAGGCAATTATGGCCTGTCTCTCTCTCGTCTACAGTTTGTGTGGGCTTCGATTCGTAGTCAGTCACATACACATATTTATTTATGAGGTTTTATGGACGCTGTCTTTGATTAATGCATGACAGTCTGGCCATATGAATATTAAACTTTGCTGCCTTGCCGCTTTCCCATTTAGAGGCGACATCAATTAGCCGCTGGCCAAGCTCGCGTATAAATACATTAACACAAATCGTCGAGCATTCGGAGTGGCCGGCCCCAGGTCGTTCCTACCTCTTCCAACCTCTCGGATCCGTCGCTCTCTCTTATCGCCACTTGTAAATGTCTCAACTATTTGTTAAATGCTAAAGCGACATGGTCATAATGGAAATGACAACTTAACAGCGACGACGAGACGACGACGACGACAACAGCCAGGCGAGGAGGACGACAGCCCCGATAGGAATGGCAAAAATGTTAAAAGGCTCGGTCAAGTGGCCCACAGTCCTCGCCAGACCTCACCCGGTCTCTCCGTGATAACTGTATTGAGAGTGTCATTAACATTTTGATTTGGCAGCCAGGCAGCTTCGGACTTCGGCTGGACTCCACTCCACTCCAGACTTGGCTCTGTCTCTGGGCTCAACTTCAACTCTATTATGAGCTCCGACTGCATTTCGCCGGCTACTTATCGGCACTTGCGACATGCACATCATTTGTTAAATAAAGTAAAGTCAGAGTCCAGTCTCCACTCTCCAAGTTGCCCCTGGATCCCCCTTCCCCCGCCAAACCCTTCGAATGTGCGAGGCAATTAATCAGGGCGATGTTTTTGCATGCAAAATGAAAACACCTTTTTAAGGCATCTCGGGAACAACAGCAACAGCCTCAGGCACAGGCTCCGCAACAAGAACAACCACAACGATGTCATCAATCAGTCGACACAAGAGAGGTTGGTGCTCTTGGGGGGTGGGTTGTGGGTATCTGCCTGGATCTGTATGGCGCTTTCGTTTCGAGTGGTGTGGGTGCAGGGCAAAATTAAAAAGCGTCAATTTGTCACACGTGGTCAGCTTTTGACTTCGGATCTTTCCCCGTTCTCATCCTCGTCGTTCTCGTCATTAACAACGGTTTTGTGGTTGAGTTTTTAATTGCCACCGCGTTCGAACTGTGCTTCAGTTTCAGATTCGGATTCGGATTGGGATTGCGATTCGGTTTGGGCTTTGGGTTTTGGAGTGCGATTCCGAGCTAGCAGGCTGGCACACTTTTATGGCCTCAGCGATCCATTAAGTGAGCAATTGGACGGCGTTGACAACGTTGTGGGAGCGTGTGGGTGTAATGGAGTCTGGCCAATGAGATGAGAGTGCCTTGATGGCTGAAGAGGCTGGCTGAGGAGCGTGGGGGTGGTGCGACAACGACAACTTACGCTTTTGCACACACATACATCAGGCTTTGTCACTCGACCCTGATTGCCGGGGCTTTCGCTTGATTTGTGTGAATGATTTGCCGTTGACCGTGGATGGCCTGATGCCTGTTTGGTGTTGAACCTAATGGCACTTTACTTTATGGCTGTCTCACGGCATTACGGGAGGAAGCGCAAACACACATTTTCCATGTGCAGATCTCTCAGAACTAGCACAGCTATAAGTAAATATTTACGTACTATGAACATTCATTAGCTTATCTTATGTATGTTGGTATAATATACATTTTTATTTTGTATTACTTTTATTATAATTGTTAGCGTTCAGATTCGTATGCCTCAAGATGGCCGCATCTTCGAAACTACTTTGCTGTTAAATAATATTTAGCTCTTCTACATGGTATATTTTTTTGAATAGTTCACTTCATTCCAGCGCCGATTCGAATCGGACACTCTCCGAGTCAATGTTCATTATTCTTACGCTAATGACAGGGCCGCCATTTTGAAATATTCAAGAGGCTGCTGGAGCTCTGCTCTGAAGCTGTTCTATCACCATTAGTTGGAGTCGAGTCCCACTCGCTGTTCGTGGTGCTGCTGCTGTTGTGGCACGAGTACTACTCCCACTTGACAGAGCTTTGGGGCTGTCGGGCCAGCCGGAGGAGCAAACAAGTTTCATTTGTCAGTTGGCCAAGGCAATTTTCCGACTCTGGATGAGGCTGGCCTGGCCCGCTGGATGCATTTTGAAGCCGACACCTGGACCCCGCCTGCCTTCCCGGCTGACACCAGCATGAGGCCATTTGAAATTAATGAACTATGATTCACAGTCCTCTCTCCCTCTCTATCTACATCTCTTTGCTTTCTCTTGGGCTTAAGCCCAAGTCCCGCTTCCGGCCCAAGCTTTTTTTTTTTTCATTTTCACTAAAGTGCATTTCACATGATGAACGAGACACAGGCCCGTCTCCAGGCACCCCTGAGCGACCTCCAGCTCCTTGCTGCCATTTTTAATTGTTTTGGGAACAAGCGGGCCAGCAGCAACGAACATTTTCATTTGTTATACTCGGGAAAAACTGTACAAAAAAAATTAATGGCAAATGCTAATTTGTGTACACATTTGAAAAATGAATTTCGATTTCAATTCGAGCTTCAGTTTTACGCTCATTAATAATACGTATCGCCGTGAGTAATTTTTCAGTCATGTCCCTAGCGAATTTCGTGTACATATACATATACAGAGTTTATTCCCAAATTAAAAATTAAACACCTCACCCAGAAACTTGTTAATGATTTG